CTCTTAACATATGAGCACAAGCACCAACTTCCTTATTAAGACTCCTAAAACTCAAGAAATAAAACCAAGACCCAATAAATGGGATAGCATTAAATTAAAAAGCTTCTGCATAGCAAAGGAAACAATTAAGAAGTGAAGAAGGAACTTACAGAATGGGAGAAAATCTTTGCCAGCTATCTAACAGGGGATTAATAACCAGAATATAAAGAATTTAGAAAACTTAACATTAAAAAAAACTAACAATTCACTCAATAAATGGGCAAAAGATCTAAAAAGATATTTCATATATTTTCACAAATATATGAAAAAACGTTCAAGATCCTTAGCAATCAGAAAAATGCCAAACAAAACTACATGGAGGTTTTCTCTAATCAGTCAAAATGGCAATTATCATGAATACAAATAACAATTACAGACAAGGATGTGAGAAAAAAGTTCACTTATACATTGTTGATGGGATTGCAAATTAGTACAACCACTTTGGAAAGCAGTATGGAGATTTCTCATAAGACTAGGAATCAAATGGCCATATGATCCAGCTTTCCCACTTCTTGGTATTTATCCAAAAGAACTAAAATCAGCAAACTATAGTGATATAGGCACATCAATTTTTGTAGTAGTACAATTCACCACAGTCAAGTTTTGGAACCAGTCCAGGTGCCCATCAACAATAAAATGTGGTATATATACACACAACCATAAAGAAGAATAAAATATCATTTGCTGAAGAACATCATGCTAACTGAATAAGCCAAACTCAGTCAAGGATCAAATGTTTACTGTCATATGTAGAAACTAGAGAGAAAAAAGGAATAAAAAGGGTGGATTTCACAAAAACAGAAGGGAGATCAATAGAGTAGAAGTAAGGGAGACCAAGGGCAAGGGAGGAGGGGAGGCAAAGGGCAAGAACTGGGCAATAAAGTTGAGAGTATCATGCTATATGCATGAATGGATATATCATAGTGTGTTCCAATTTTATAAATAAGTATAATGTACCTGCTAAGTAAATAAGTACATAGAAGGAAGACCAATAGAGTAGAGAGATGGAGGTCAAGGGGAGGGAGAAGGAAAAGGAAGAGCACAGTACTGAGGATTAAAATGGAAAAAACCCTATGTATATGCATTTACGAACGTGTCAAAACAAACCCCATTATTATGTATAATTACAATGAACTAAAAATTTAAAAAAATTTAAAAAAGAATTCATTCAGCTATTCCTGTGTTATGGAACAACTGATTTCAGGGCTTTTCGGGCTAAAAGAAATCCTTTAATATTACACTGCATTAGCTATCTTCCACTGGTCCCCATTAGATATGAGTTTCTTATAGGCAGAAAACATGATGGTTACTGTCCTCAATTCTCAATATCTGTTATAGTTTGAGCATAGAACATATACACTCAAAACATGCTTCATGAATAAACCCTCGCAATCACAACACTGATTGCCTTTTTCACACTGATCCTTGCACTCAAATTCCCAAGAAAGAGGTTGAACTTTCAAAATTAGTATATTTTATTAACAAATGACCATGGGGTGATCATTTCTAGTAGGGGAAGTAGGCCAACTTCTATAAGATCTTGAGAAGATGAAGATGCATCCTCTCTAACATGACAAGAGCCAGGGTTAGGATTGGTGGTATTGGTGGTGGTAGTGGTGGTGTGTGTGTGCCTGTCTGTGTGTGTGTGTATGGGTTAGAGGAGGGAACTCAAAGAAGAAGAGTAGTTTTGTGGTGCAAATATTGTACCAAGACATCTAAACTGTCACAGAACAAAATGGTCACTTACTTTTGAATTTAGATTTTAGCTTCATGGAAAAATATGAATAATAAGAACAGCCTATATGCCCTATAGCACAGATTATCTTGTATAAAAAATCAAAAGAGGTCTGTGTTTTAGCTTTTCCTCTAATTAACCCATTTCTTAATCTAATAGCTAACAGAAGCAGACTCAGAATTCAAACTATATTAAACAGCTGAAATGCTATTAGCTTAGATTCAGGAGTTTGAAAGGACACAGGAAGAAGGATGTGCTGGGGGAAAAGATCTGATTCTGCCACAAACAGCTGTGGAATCCCAGGCAAACCTGTTCTCTCCGGGGGCCTCACTTTCCTTTCTATGAATTAGACAGTGGATCTGGTGACAGCTAAGTTTCCTTCCAGATTTAGGATTACATAAACCTAAGCAAAATGAGAGTAATAGTCTAGGGTGACAATTTCAGATTAAAGAGGCATGCTCATCATCTTATATTTATATAGTCTGAGAAACCCTGCTACAAATTTATTTTGAGAAAGCAAGTAGTTGATTTTCTAAAATGAGCATACACCAACTGGCATTGGTCCTATTTGAGTGCTCCAGATGAATCAAGTATCTCTATGAAAATCCTAGAGTCAAAACTGGTACTGGGGGGAGGAAAGACAAAGGTAGAAACCTGTTGAGTCCTTTTTGGTGAGGATTCTGTTTAGGCTTTGCTAGTCCATTTCATGTTCTTGCCTTTTTTGTTGCTGTTGTTGTTATTTTTGTAGGTTGGTTCCTATTTTTATCACATTGCTCGAGAACAAGGCCAGGGGCTCTTACAAGTTCTTTCCTTCTGATCTTACTATATGCATGACCCCTATTTCTTATTCTGTGTCTCTTACAGTCATTTACATGCTGAGGTCAGCCCTCTAAATACTAGTTAAGTATTAACTGAATGTCTGGAAACCAAATACCGTATTTGTATATTCTTAGGGATTTTATCTGGAGAATTTCCCAAGGAAAGTTAAGTATTTTTGAATCTCATTTAAAAGAATTTTCTCCTTTCCACACAATCTTCAACTATTACTTTCTTATTTTGTCATCATTTCTTTCTTTAGGAGTTTTTTTAATATATAAAATATATATTGGATATATATATATATCCATATATAAAAACATATGTAATGCATGTATATATGTATATGTATATCTATATCTATATATTAATTTATTTTTTAGTTGTAGTTGGACACAATACTTTTATTTTATTTATTTATTTTTATGTGGTGCTGAGGATCGAACCCAGGGCCTTGCACATGCTAGGTAAGCACTCTACTGCTGAGCCACAACCCCAGCCCAACATATATATATTTTGGTACTGGGGATTGAACCTAGGGCTGCTCAACCACTGAGCCACATCTCCAGACCTTATTTTATTTTTTTATTTTGGTACAGGGTCTCACTAAATTGCTTAGGGCCTCGCTAAGTTGCTGAGGCTGGCTTTGAACTTGTGATCCTTCTGCTTCTGCCTCTCTAGTCACTGTGATTACACACACATACTACCACACCTGGTTGATGGTTATATTTTTATTTGGCATTTACGCATAAAGATTTGAGACTAATTAATACTATTTTCAAATAAGTGCATTCATTTAACATAATATCATAGTCCTTCATTTAAGTTTGCCAGTCTTCCACAGCTTAATTGAAAACCTATTGCCAGTATATTTTAATCAAATTTCCTCTAATACATTAACAATATTCTAAACATTCAATTTTTAATAAGATACCAACATTCAGTAATTTTCCTTCCAGATTCATTCTATAAAGCCATTTCAATAGCATTACCTTATTTATCTCTATCCTATTAATCCAACTGTTTTTTTTTCCCTGTTTGCTATCCCAAGATCAAAAAATTTTTGTATCATGAAGACCAGCAATACAACACAAGTAAGGAAAATAGAAATAGAAATATCCACAAATGAGGTTAATTTTTCATCATATTTGTGATGTCACTGCAAGACAAATTCTAGAGTGGTTCTCAACAGTGTCTTTACAGATTACAATGAAATGCATCAAAATTGTCTTCTGAAATGCAGTTGACTAAATCTGCATGACTAAACTTTATTGTTTGTTTGTTGTTTTAATCTCGGGGCTCCTGAGGTACTCAAACTTCTAGAATAATAAGGAACTCTATGCTTGTCAGAGTGGCTGGCAATTCATGGCCCTAGAGAACCTGCCACCTTCAGGAAGTCCACTCCCCTCTTACTCCTGGTGTGCCCACCTAATATTCAGGAAAGACAACTTTACAGCCAAGTGGAACCAAGGACAAGTTTAATTCAAGTACATTGTTTAATATCTATAACACAAACCTCCTGCCAGGAGGGGAAAGTAGTTCAGGTGAAGAGGACATGACCTCAGGTGAGCATTAGATAAAATTCTGGGCTACATGGGGGTAGGGGAGAATAGAGAATACAAAGGGTGTGGGTGTGGCTTCTCGAAACAGTACATAGATTTTTTTTTTTGACCATTACATAGTTATTACTTCTCCCCTTCTGGCTCTTGGCACCTACATTACTTTTAAAAGTCCAGTCAACACTGATGAAGTTTGTGAGTATTATAAGAAGCTGGTGCCAGCAAGAGGAGCATGGTATAGTTGAGCATCAGGATCTCACCCAAGAGGTGAAGGACAGGAAGGAATTTTGAATTCAATTAATTTTTTTTCCCTGGTAAATTAGTGAGTTTTGCAGGTCAGGAGCAATGACCTTTTAAGGCCTGAGAAACAGTTGGTGATGAGATACCACAGAATAGTATTTCCATTAAAACTTTTGGAAAAAAACCCACATAACTCTTTAGAATAATAATGATTTCAAATCAATACAAACAAAATCAACATCAAGCAAAGTAGGAAATGATCGGGCATATTTTCTTCTCAGACTGATGGTGAGCAAATATCCAGGGCTTTGGTCCATATACTCAAGATGTATCAGACAAATGTTTCTTATTCTTTTGCAACCTATGCTAGCAACTCTACCCTGTATCATAATATTTTAAAAGAATAACTTGATAAAAGCAGTGACCTTTAAGTAATTTAACCTAATAACATTTCAAAAATCTATTCTTAAATGTAGGGTATTTCAGTAGTGTGGCCACGAGTGTGGTCTAATTAGAACACATGCTTCCTTGTTATAAGGTGGTGCCTTTGTTTTCCCAAGCTGGATTGCCTACACAGTGCAGACCAGAGTAAGAAATGCCCCATTGCCTACCTGACATAGAGGGAGCGTTTCTGATTGGTTCGCAGGGACCCAGACCCGGAGCTCATGCTGTGGTTCATCATCTGCTCCCGTAGGTCATGGATTTTGGCCTCAAATCGAGCGTAATCTGGGAATGGAAACAAAGATGATAAATTTGGTTCTGTTCCTTCAGAGAGAGAGAGAGAGAGAGAAAGAGAGAAAGAGACCCTGAGAGGGAATGCATTACTGTTTAGCCAAGGCAGCTACTCATCCTATCCCTGGTTCCTTTGCCAAGCAACAGGGAGATGCTTAACTGCAGAAGAGTATACTTGCTCGCTATTATTTTTTTCTTCACAAGAACTCACAAGAGAAGAAGAAATCAGTTACTTCACAAAAGTCACCAAGAAAACACACTGCCTTCAAACCCCAGCTTGTACAAAGTCCACAGGAAAGAGAGCAGGAATGGAAGGATGGGGGGCAGGATGGGAGGCTGGTCATAAACAGGCAAATGGCATTCTCCTGGTAATAGAGATGTTCTCTATCTTAGCTGCAGTGGTATATATAGGTACCTGTAGATGTGATTAAATTACATAGAACTCTACACACACACACACACACACACACACACACACACCCCAAGTAAAAAGTGAGAAAATCTGTATAATACCGATGAGTTGTTTCAATGTCAATATCCTGATTATAATGTAGTGCTAAGTTTTGAAAAATGTTATTATTGGAAAACATTAAATAAAGGTTATATGGGACCTCCTTATAATATTTCTTACAACTGCATGTCAGTCTATGTATTTCAAAGTTTAAAACTTAGTTTATGAAAGAGAAAAACAGAAAACAAGCCAAAGGAATTCCCAACCCTGTGAGGTGTTGAGTCTCCAGTTGCCCTTAGCATGATAGACTAGAGGATCACTATTTGGATGATTGAATAAAAAATGTCATTTAGTTTGACTAAGTTTTTTTTCTGAGGAGAGCTACAAAAAGTTGACCACTAGGTATCATACCTCAACTGTCCCCTAACTTTGCACACATTACCAAACTTCATCAATTTTAAGATGTGCAATATATTTGAATTAGGAGAGAGATATTAAAATAGGGATAGAAAACATTGTTATGTAAAACATATTTTAGAAATATTTGAACTTGAAAAAAGTACATATGTTCCAAAAATCAAGGAAATAATAGGTATTGTATCATGCTACTCATAGGAAAAAATTGCCATTTTAATCTAATAAAAAAGATAGCACAAAAAAGTTTTAAGATACTTATTAACAAAATTATCATGTAAAAATAAAGTTTTTGAAGTTTCAATATTCTTGATCACAACCTAAACATTTTTCTATCATGGCCTTGGCAGAGGAGTGCCTTGCTTTAAGAAAAACCAGTAGGAAAAAATGGGCATAGTGGCACCTGCCTGTATTCCCAGGCTCAGGAGGCTGAGGCAGGAGGATCACAAGTTTAAGGCCAGCTTCACCAACTTAATGAGGCCCTAAGTAACTGAGCTAGATCCTCTTTTTAAACAAAAAATAAGAAAGGCTGGGATGTAGCTCAGTGGTAAAACATCCCTTGATTCAATCCCTAGTATGAGAAAGAGAGAGAGAGAGAGAGAGAGAGAGAAGAAAAACCAGTAGGTGAGAGGCTTAAATTACCCACAGACAAATGTGAAAATGTTAATTCAAAAAATAAAATATTATTTTAATTACAAAGATGCTCATGATGAAGAATTTTTATAGAGGTCTTCAGTATACTTCAAAAATCAAATTGATGTTCAGTTCAATTTATTCACAACTTTTCATGAAAATAAGGATCACTAAATGAATATAATAAAAGATGATCTACTTAGAGAGTGTTTCAAGTTCTTTATTAAGAAGTCCCATAAAATTAAATTAAATTTCAAATTACTGAATATTTATTGGTTATTACAGGGTGGGCTTTCCTAAAAAACCTGATCAGTTTCTGACAATAGACAACAGGATAATAAGCTCTAAACGTTAATTATGTTTAAAAGTTAGTGCTCTAAAGATAAGCCATAAGAGTTGGCTGGTAATTTCTGGTGCTTAAACAATGTCTGGCTTATCTAAATTTGGATGGTTTCCTATTAAAACTTGGCTTTGAATAATTAGGTCCTAAATGGTTAAGAAGCAGAACACCTATTTAACATACACTTTACTCCCCATAAATTAAGACAATTTATTTTATTCCATTTTACTAGCAAGAAAAAACATTGATTTATCTCCATTGATATGATACTGTTTGCAGATTTAAATCATTTTGAGCAAGCCATATTCTCTTGCTACGCTAAAAGAGGCAATTAACATTTATTGCTGGCCACATGGCAGACTATGATCAGAGCTTCATGGGCCTTATGTCATTTCTTTATGTTACAAAATTAAATCCATGTATGTAAAAAAATTTGAACTACATAGGAAAACACAGAATGAAAACTGAAAAATCCTCTTATGCCTTCTGCCTTTCCTTACCTTCTTTCTCACTGTTGTACTTCCCCATACCTCACCCTAAACGGAATGCGTGGTTTTATGTTAGATATGTTTATGGGTTGTGCTTGTGTGTATGTACCCACATATGTCATGCCTGAGACCATGTCTAGATGTTGTGCTGAGATTTTTTCCCCCATTTTTAAAGCAGTGTAACATGGATCTTTTTTCTATCTTCTATCAAATATATAAGTATCACTTTAAAAATATCTTTAATTATAATCCCCAGTTTAGACTAATTTAACAATTCCTATGTCATTAGATACAAGGCCTATCCAGTTTTTTGCTTCATAAACAGGGATCTCAGTGTATGTGTGCACATTTATGTGTGCACAGAACCCATTCAGTCTTTCTTAGCATTTCCCAGAGAAGAGCATGATCTTGTCTGAGACACACAGCATGAATTCTTAGCTTCCTCTGATCCATGCTCAACAATGCTACTTGATAAATATCACCTATCACCCCAGGTACCTCTAAATCTCCCTCTGAAGACATTGGACTTTCTCCTCTACAAACCTGATGAATTTACAATCAATGATAAAATCATGAAATTCCTCCATCAGTGCTACTTCCCTACTCCATTTGATCAGGGTGCTACTTTATTACATTTATCATACCAACCTGCAGCTATTTCAGCAGTTGCCTATCTTCCCATTAGACTGAGCTCTCTTAGGTAGATGCCCTATTTTACTCTCTATGGAATTCACTGTGCCTAACATAGTATCTGACATGCAAGAGGCATTTAATAATAGGTGCTCAATACACATTTTCTGAATGAATGAATGAGGAATGAGGGAATGAACAAAATCATTAGATTAAAAAAAACTCCACTACAAAAATGCCTGCAAGTATTGAAATTGCCCATTTTCAATGTTATGTTTTATAATGAAGAAAGACAACATGCATGTCCTCTAGTACTAACTTTTTCTAGAATGAAAATGCAAATGCAACATTCTAATCCCTTTGTTATTTTTACTGTTCTCCAGGCAGTCTCTGCTCTTCTCATCTTAGTCAGATCACACATTGGAAACACTTCTCTGATATTTAATGTATTAATATAGCCAGCATTTTTCCAGTATCTTGTAAGGTTGTTTTTTTAGGTTCTTATAATTAAGACAAGCAATACCACAGAAAATACTTGGCTTAATAATAAGTTGAATTTTCTTTACCCGTATGGCTCATTAGATACCCAAAATATTTTTGAAATGCTTTTGGGATGTTTGTCAGGACTCATATTCTGGAATTTTTAAATTCCCCACAAGAAATGATTTATTGCATTTGCTAAATGTGCAATTCATCCTATTCTTTACTTTTCCATTTTGATGATTATCTTGAACATAAATCTTGTGTTCAAAGGTATTTATCCCTCTCTCTGCTCCTTTTTGAAAACCAAGACTGAGGTATTGTCATCAGAGCAAAATCAGATCTAGGTTTACAAATACAAATGGTATATGTTTGCAGGTGGGGAGTTGCTTATCTCTAACTTCTCAGAGATCAACAAGTTTGCATTTGAAGTGCTCTAGAAATAAATAGGAGATTTTAGTTACATACATTGTGAAATAATAATACTGAAAATTACATTTTTAACTAGTCAAAATACAAGAACCTACCACATCATTCAATTAGCCATCCTCTTTCCCTTTCCAAAATGTTTCTTCCCTATCTATAATCTCCCCCTTGGAACATTTTTTCAACTGAATTCCTAATACTCTTTCTCAATTACAAACTTTATGAGAACATTCAAATTAGGATATAAAGAGGAATTCATGTTTACTAAGCACCTCAACAGGCTAGGATCTATACCACATAAGTTATAAATATTATTCCTAACAAAGTTCCAAGATAGGCATATTATTTTAGAGATAAAGGAAACAGGTTCAGAGAGGTTAACAAACTTCATCAAAGTCACAGAGCCACTAGGTAACACAGCACAATGGGACACAGAGCTGGGATTTAACCTTGAATACCTGTGAATCCATTTTGTTTCTATTACTTTACAATGCCACAATTCTTCTCTTCTCTTCTCTTCTCTTCTCTTCTCTTCATCTACTCTATTAATTATGTGCATGCTGGTCTTCTCTATAGCACCCTAAGCTCCTCAGAGTTGAGATGCCTCATTGATTTCAGTTCCCCCGATCTGAGATGCCTCATTCATCCTCAGCATTCTACATTATGTGTATGTAGGACTCTAGTAGGCACTTTGCGTATAGTTATGAACAAGACAGAACCTTAAAGAACTTGCTTCCAGAATGGAACACTGGCAAGGAAGTTAAGTACGATAATGCTGAGGTGGAGAACAACATTAAAGAGGCAATACCTATTCTGTCTGGCTTTGCATGTAGTAGATGTTAGGTGAATGTTTTTTTACATTACAAGTTATTTATTTCTTGGGGTTTCCTCTGTAACAGAATCAAAGCACTGAAAATCAAACTTCTAGGCAAATATTTTTAGGAACATTACCTCCAGCTAATTTGTTCCCTCCCCCTTTATATATAAGCCACATTTCATTTCTTTTTCTTTCCCCTTTCTTCTTTCCTTCCTTTGCTCTCTACATTCTTAGGTACTAAATTTGATTACCCCTACCTAGATATATTATTTGGGGGATTTTTAACTTTATTTTTTCATTTGGGCATGACGGGCA